CTGGTTTAACTTCTTTTCTGTTTCCAAGGGTAGCCTATTTATTCTGTGATTACAGGAAAGAGCGAACAGATGACCCAGATGGTCTTCACCAAAGCCAGTGATTTTTCGCCATTTTTAACTTTTAGTCCCACACAACATGAAAGCAAAATACTAAATGAGTAAAATCTTCAGGTCTGTTCTTGTGATATTTCTGTTACTGAAGAACACAGACTTTCCAGGGAACTTGAGATTATTTTCTTCCTATCCAGTACCTTTGGTTTTGCCACTTCAACTCAGTGGAGTACCACAGTGGCTTACTTTCTGATTTTTGTGCTCTCATCACGGAAATGCAAATCACTGCACTGTGGGCCAAACACTGATGAAAGCAGGTACTTCGGTACAAGGTTTACAACCGGAGTTCTAGCCTGAGGAGATAGATGAGTATACAAATCTCTGCATCCTTTGAAGTTCATCCTGAATCTAAATAATAAGTCAGAGAGAGTTCATGTTCTGGTTGAGATTCTAGTAGCTAGTAGACAGCCATGAGTTCTGAAAAGTATTTCATTAATTACTTCAAAGCAGAGTAGAGTCACCATTAGAGAGCTTGATATTCACTTGAAGACCTCCCACCTCCACCTCCCCTCCACCATTTTGCTCTGAGTAGGAAAACCAGCACAACACATTTGCAGCCTCCTGGTCCACTTCTGCAGCTTCAGACTCACTTCTCCAAATGGTGTTTTGAACAATATGGGAGACACTGGTGTCAATGGAGAGAGAGCAAGCTCTGTGGTGCACTGCTGGTGAACCTTGAAGCATCCAAGGAAAATGTCATCTGCTGTCCTCCATCTTTTTGTGTGTAGCTGTTCTTTGGGAAACACTGCTATTAATGACTGTTGCACAGTGCTTACAGAGGTTTGGTAGATAAAATACAGGCTGGTAGATAAAAGGCAGCTTTCGGCTTCATTTTTCAAGTTCTCACAGCACCACATGGGTGATGGGTGACCCAATTGTTACTGAGCAAATGTAAACAAGAGAAAAGGAAACTTTCTTCCATCTCTGAGGCAAACTATCAGGTTTATTCAGCCTGCTCTCCTTGTCTTCTACCTGAATTAGCATCCTGTATACCTGTGGGTTGGAAGGTGAGAGAGCAGAGTGGTTGTCACCAGTGAAAACTGTGCCAACACAATGGGCTTAAACCAGAGATGTGGTTTCTTCTGGTGTTGACAAAGGGTTAAGTAGAGATGGAGCAGAGGGAACCAGACTTTTGCATTATTCCTCTAAGGAATATGGGTCATGTTGCCCCTATGTTGCACTTTGTCATTAGCTGAATCACTGAAGCATCCTGTCAAATCAGCCTGCTACATAGATTTTTAAAAACTCTTAATTGGCGCCTGCAAGGTTACAAGTTAGCAGTGTATCTCCATTTGCCCTGCACAGCCTTTCACAGCTCTTTCCCCCAGCTCCAAGGCACTGTTTTGCTGCAGAGTCAGTAACCTACCATGGTATGAGGCAACCCAGGCTGTAGTTGAGACGCTGTGAAGTGACCTGGCATTTGTGTGACAGAGAAAGCTTCCTTTTTTTCCTTTCTTTTTTAACTATTATGCAAATGTTTCTCCATGTTTCCTTGTTTATCACAGACTCTGATCCTCCCTAGACAGGCTATTCTGAGTTTGGCCTGCTTTCTGATAATTGCATCTGCATTAAAGCAAACACCCCTGCAGGGTTTCTCCATTCCCCTGTCCTTGCCAGCTCTGTGCTCGAGAGCACTCCATAGCTTGCTAGCACAGGGATGTGCAAAAAAGGCATGCCAAGGGCTGGCAGTGCTCTGGAGAAGAAGGCAAAGCTGCATGCTATTTCAGACCTCTCTCGTTTTGCCAGTGAGTTCAGATACCTTTCTTTTGCTAGTGACACGGTGGCTGCTGGGTCTTCCTAAGCCATGCATCAGTAAAATCACTGTCATGGTCTACAGTCTGTGTCCAGCCCGTATCAATGTTTGGCTTCTCTTTGGGGATGTAAAAAATGAATAGGATCTGAGAGAGTCAGCCAACAGTAATGACTGCAGTAGTAATTTTGAGAAGGTGGTCTGTTGTACGTTTTTGTGAACTGTTGTTTTCCTTTGGAAGAAAAAAGAGGCAGGGCACTGCTGGAAAATTTTTGAGGTTGATCTTTATTAGGTTGCTGTTTAGGAGCTGGGAATCTCTAGTGCTTGAAATACAGCCATTAGTGTGTTGCTTCTCTATATGGGGCCAAGGCCTGGACTATGAGAAGTACAGTAATGATGCTTTTCCTTCACAAAGCCCCTTTTTTCACTGAAAGATGATATGAAATCTTACTGAGATGAGTAGATTAGTTTTGTCCTTAGTTTACAGCTAGAAGAGGTAGCAGACAGTGGAAAGCTGGAGTGGTGCAACACACCACTGAACTGAATGCACTGTAGTGAAATGCTGCCAGGCCCATCTGGCCAGATGGCTTTCTGCATGCCTGTGTAATCAAGGCCTGTGTAAGTGTGTTTCCTCTCAGAATTTAGTTGCCAGGAATTTAAAAATATGCACAAAGCCTTCCACACTCACACAGTTAAAGTGATGAAAGTAAAGTAACTCAGGCTATTTCCTTTTAATTGGTTCTTAGCGTAAATCTATAGGCAGTAAGTAGATATTTGCTTTCTGTTCTGATTTGCTCTTCTTGAACTTGGCCATGCTGTGCTGTATCTGAATCCCCTTCTCCAAGTGAACATCATAAATCATGGCCTCTTCTCATGCTTTAGGGCAGTAACCAAGCAGGACCCTGACTGGATGATGCCATCCATCACTCACTTGGTCTGAACATATGTTGCCACCGCACCCACCAGAGACTTTTCAGCAGTGAATTGCCAGTGCAGTTAGACAGCCCGTCTGCAGGGAATTTCATCTTTCACAGGCAGGGTATCCCCCAGAAGGGAGAATGGGGTTGGATAATCCCTACTGTAGCTAGTACAATGGTCACATTCCCCATGAAATACCTCGTCTCCCCCATCCAAAGGTAACTTTCTTGTAGTTCTAATTTCTTAGCAGATGTGGTGCTTGGTGCTGCTGATGAACCTCAGTAGTGTTGGAAGAATGTTATTTGAGTGGGTACTTCTGTTTTGTTTTTCCTAATTCTTGAAACAAATCCAGCTTTTTCAGCTATAGAGCTGAACAAGTCCTCTGCAAATATCAGTGCGTATCTTGTAGAAGAGAAGAGTCTCCTTGAGGAGGAGACAAAAATGGAATAAACTAGCTCTCCCCCTAGTTATGGGAAGTACAATTGAAATCACCTAGTTTGTGTTTCCTATTTGTATAAGTGGCTTTCATCTAAGTGCTGGTCATGAGTTAAGTTACGCCTACAGGGCTGTCACCATCAGGTATTGTGTATCACTGAATTCACAGCAGTTCCAACAGTGCTGAACTATGTACATATGTGTTTAAATGCATTCCCCACTTCTTGGAAGGAGCTATTTCCAGAGATCCCAAGTGTGGTAGTAGATCTCTCAGCTGACTTTTCAGTGAGCAGAGACAAATAAGTATATAAGATTAACACATGTACAAACACTGTTTCCTTCATCCGGATATTCAAGGATGACCAAGGGTGATGTGGTGCAGGAGTTGCTTTTGCTGGCTTTGTGTGGTTGTGTAAAGGGAGAGATCTGGGATGACAACCAACATACTGGGAAATCCTCCTCCTCTGCACAGCACTGGAAAACTACTGCTTTCTAATTGTCTGCCGAGTATCTCATTTGCATTCAGAAAAAGTTGTCTGTGTTCAGGCTTAGTCTAAGATGGTATCTCAGGAAATTAAGGGACATCAAGAACTAAAGGTATACTTGGGCAAGTTCCTAATTACTTATCTGATCTCTGCAGGGGAGATGTTAAGGGATGGTTTTGTAGTTTGTGTGTGTTTTTTTGTTTGTTAGCATAGCAGTTCCAGGACAATCAGTTACTTGAAGGGCTGGGAATAAACTCTACCCAGTTGTCCTTGTTTGCTTCTGTAGGTCTTTTTCCTGCCTTTGTGGAATCCTTAAAATTTGTCATGCCCAGCTATGCAATGCTTAGGCTGCATCTTTTCACAGTGTATTTCAGTTGCCTACAGCCTCCATGGTGCTACATAAACTCCCTTTGAGTTAGCTTAGGTCAAATCAGAGCAGTTGCACCACGGCTTCAGGCAGCACAGAGCAATTTTGCTAGCAGCTGAGGAATTGCACTGACTCTAGCTCTAATAAGTACCCTTAGTAAATTCGGGTTAACAGCACCATGGCAGTATGGTAAGAGTTTTGGGGAAGAGCAGGGCTTGTACTAATTACAGGAACTTAGTCACAACTTGCTAACTCCATGTTGAAGACATGCTTTTAGAAGTAGCCATGTTTGGACAGATTGGGAATTGAGAGGAAGCACAGTCTTACGCTTCAAGCTCCAATAGTCAGGTTTAATTTCTTGTTCTGCTTTGTATTTCTTATGTCACTTCTTACATTTCTTTCCCTTTCTGTGCCTTGGTTCTGCAGCTGTAAAACCACACTGCTGCGTTCTGCTCTTTGTTCTGAATAGACTGCATGTTCTTCAGGATGGGGATTGTCTAGTATTAATTGAGTATGTAATACGTAATGCAGCATGGCCACATCTGGGCCCGTGGGAGGTCAGGAGAGCCCTAAGTGACATCTTAAGAGTTTCTGTACTTTGAGAATATGTCACTGGTTTTGGGTTGTGAGGGAGGAAGAGCCTTTAATGCTCCTATAACTCTTACAGCTAATTCCCTTTGGTAAATTTTGGGACTTTTCTTTCAACCTTGAAATTTTGTTCGTTTTCTGTTCTGCAGGGCAGGGAGTGCTGAGGCTGAATAAATTGAATTTTTCTTAAATTATATGAGTGCTAAGTAAGATATATTGCTATAAGTTGCCGTATCCTCTGCGTAAAAAGGAGTGGAAAATGGTAAATGAGAAGAAAATGTGTGACAATATCTAATGTATTCTAAGACCAAGCTACTAATATTCTATTTCTTTTTGTTTCTTCCAGGTGGAGAGGGAAATAGCCATCCTGAAGTTGATAGAACACCCCCACGTTTTAAAGCTGCATGATGTTTACGAAAATAAAAAATATTTGTAGGTATTCCTGGCTTTTGCCAGAGAAAGGGGAAGGGAGGGAGGGAGATGAGGGTTTTGGAATTTGGTGACGTTTCTGAAGGAATGGAGCAGGGCTTTGCCCTCAGCTATTGTCTGTGTGATACCTAATACTTGGATGCCGAAGGAACGCTCCTTATTTCCTTAGCTTTTCTCAGTTTTCTTCTCTGTACTTACGTGCTGTTTCTTTTCCTACTTAAAATGGAGGAGAGAGAACACACCTGTGTTTTCTGTCAAACAGCAAGAGGGCAGGAAAGTTTGACCCTGTAAGATCTGGAACCATTTTAAAACAGAACTGTAACAGTCTTACCATGGACAATTTGGATAACTGCCCTTGCCTAATAGTTTTCATTGAAACCCTCGGTTCTCTCTAACAGTATTTTAAATTTGCCCCATCAATAACAATTTTTGGTTTTAATGGCTGCTGAATTCTCCTGATGGTTCTGCTGTAACAGATAAGTTTTTAGGGCGGGAGGGGTTGTTGGGGTTTTTTTGCAGATCATCGCCAGTGCTGGACGGGGATATTGTCCACGCACAGAGTCATTTTAGCTTGACAGGGCACTCGATATGTTGAATCTGCTGTCAAACAAACAGGCCATATTAATCTTGCCACAGCAGGAAAATAAAATCAATGTTCTTCAAATGGAAAAGGGCAACCCAGTAGGGAACTCCAGGTTATTTTCAGCTTTTTAACAGGTTATTACAAGTAGAAGAGAGTAGTAAAAAGAAAACAAACTATTTTTAAAAACCACTATCCATGGGTGACCTCTCCCTAATGTCACAACTCAAAAAAGGAATGACTGTTTACCCAAAGAAAGTGTATTGAATGGAGGTAACAATCCCTCATGGGCTATTCAGCCAGTCTCGTTACTGGAGCAATGAAATCCTATTCTGAGAAGTGAGGCCTTTGTGCCCAAGGGTTAGCTTACTAGAGCAGGCAGTAATTTCTTTTGGATTCCACGTTTTCTCTGGGGAAGAGCTTGCCATCCATGGTGAAATGCTATTGCCAGAGTGAGCTTGTGCAGGCACTGGGTGGAGGCTGGCTCAAACATTCGCTGACCCGCATCTCAAGTGCTCTATCCTCAGTGGTGTAAATGGTCATGGCACCATTAAGCCCAGTTTGCCCCAGCTAAGGACAGAGGCCGAGATCTAGCACAGCCTGCTCTGCATGCGAGAGGAGGGTAGCAAAGGGAAGCAAGGCTTTACAGCCAGCAAGTTCTCCATTAATACTGAAAAGAGAGGCACCATCTATAAGACTACATTCATTTGTATTCTGGTTTAAAGGGGGTTAGTACAAGCCCCAGGCTTGCTTTTGGTTAGGAATATTCTTCTTTGTGATCCTTGTTTATTTATATGTCTGTAATCTTAGATATACACACACATAAACACACACTTGCATAAGCCCAGCAAAAAGCTGATGTGCTCCAGGTAGATGTAGGATACTTGAGTGGTGGAGAAAATGTATGAATACATGAAGACAAAAGAAATTTTCATCAATTGAAGTGAGAGGATGGGTTACAGAGGTGCTGAAGCTTTCTTCTTGCCCTGAATGCCTGTGAAGCCAGCAGCTGAGTTGAGCTGTTTTTTTACCACATAACTTGGTGGCTATTTTGCTTCATGTGAAAAATATCTACTGCTTAGAGCAGTGGGGGTGGTGTTACAAGATTTCTGAGAAATGGCTGCATTCCTTGGCAGGAAAATACCTTTCTGCTGAAAATCACCTTGAAAGGGAAGTATCCCATATCTTTAAGCTGTATCTATATATCCTGGCTTCTAAAAAATGATGGGTTCCGAAGTATGCTTTGCTAATGACCATTTAGCCTTTAACAATCACTAAGTCTTCTTTGTGCTGTTGCTCCTCTGCCTGTAAGATTGAACTGTCCACAAAGGCACTGAAGCCTTCTGCTGAAAAACACTGGCTTTGTGAAAGAGCCAATAGCTGTTAATTTCATTTCATTAGTCACTGTTTTAAAGAAAGGGCACAATGCAGAGCTTCTGCCAAGCCTCTGTGTTCAAAATTAGAAACAGACGTAGCCTTGGATAAATCTAAGAGGTGGAGCCTGTGGAGGGGCGAAGCATTACAAGTGTGTGTGGGCTGAGAACTGTGTATGCATATACTTTCCCAAATAATACCCCCTCTAGTTCTCACCAGCATCAAAAAAGGATTACTCTCTGGTGGTGGCACCTTTCCATCACCCATGCCATCTCAGCAGCAGTGGCAGTGTTTCAGAAGAGCTCATGAATTATGGGTGATATTTCAGAAGCCAGAGACTAATCACGATGCAGTGCTGGGGAGTATTTCCTCAATAAATGTTAATTTCACAAATCATGTTTGACTTTTGGTTTGTGATTTAATTTGTGACAAGGGGCTTTGGTTGAGTAGACTCCTAATGCAACCATGAATCAAATCCTTTTTCCACAGTTTATTTAACACTGGAATGAGTTTTAAAAAATAATAATAAAATCTATTAGTATATGTGTCTTAGCCTAGCAGTCTTTTTCTGTTTGTTTTGGTGTTTTCTCTACCAAGATGGTTGGAGAGAGATGGAGATACCTATGAGCTCTAAGCCTTCCAGCTCTTTATCCAGTGTTTTGAGTTGTTACTTTAAGACTGTGTCCTACAGTTCTAGCTGCATTGAGGCAAATAGAGCTGCACTGTGGCTCTCCGTATGTGTGCTGATACACCACCTCAGATATGCCTTAAGTTGGCTAAACTAGTAATGTTACTGACAGTTGAATCATTTCATATTTATTGTATAATCACACTGACTGCCTTCAAGCAAGATTGGGAGTCCACAGTAACAGATAATTCAGAAATAGCTATAAACAATCTATGCCTCCCTCTCTCTCATCATATAATGTTAATAGACAAAACAGCCAGGAAGGGGAAATCATTTTCCCATTTTAAAGATCAAGAATGAGTAAAAGTAGCCTGATATGGGGTAAGCCCAGAGTTGTTTAAGACCTGATATTGCTGGTTCATAGTAGGGAATGGTTGATAAACTACCGAAATTTGTGTGCACCGGTTATTTTGACTAACCAAGTTCAGTCAGTCGAGAATTTTAGGGAACTGTAAATGAACTAGGAGAATGAGCAAGGCAATAACAAAGCTGATAAAGTTTTGGTGCGTTCTGTAATGCATATGGGAGTGGAAACACTCCTTTGGTCATATGGTTTCTGCATTGCAAGTGAACTGTGTGAACCTGGGTGATGGTCCTCTTTTCTCTGTGCTATGTATAGGAAAGGTCTTTTCTGAATTGGCCCTAGATGGAGTTTGTGTTGCAACTGGAGATGATGACAGAATTCGTATGCTTTTAGCAACACTACCACTGTGAATGAGCAGGAAGTTCTCATTAGCAGACTTGTTGAGGATTAAACAAGAGAAAACACACAAAGCCTAGTCCTTCATGAATGAAGTGGTTGTCTCATATTTTTTCTAGGAAGCAATCTTATGCTTTACTCTTCAGTCTCTGATACGTATATTTACTGCATTCTGTGCATTAAATTCAGCTCTTCTTTTGATCTTAGGAAAGCAATTTTCCTATTGTTAGAGGACCTGTTAGCATGTCAACTTAAATACCATCATATAGTCCACAGGAGATGGACCTTCCTTTTCCAAAGGGGATAAAGCTGATTGATACAGTTTTGTTGCAGAACTCCCAGAAGGGGTGGCATTATCCATTTGATCTCATTTGATTATCTTTTTAGTTTAAATGGTCTTGGGTTTGGCAGGGAGTAGAACTGAGATAGAATGAAGATATCTTAGGACCACTCCCTGCCCTTTTCTTTCAGATGGAGTTATTAGTGTTTCTCAATTCCCTTCCCCTTTTGTGTAAATTTCTATTTGTAGGATCATACAGGTATTTGTATATGTATGTATAGATTTATATTAATTGGTATTCAAACCTTCACATTTAAGATTTCAATTCTTAAAATTTTGTGGTGGCGTTAATTTTAAATGTCTGTGTTGTCCAACTTGACCAGCATTTTAAACCAGAGTCTGTTTCGAGAGAGCAAGTGTACATCAGACTGTTGTTCTCTGAAATGTGCCATGCATACATCAGCTCTTCTTCCAAGTCCCTTTCTCATCATTTAGTAGTACAGTGCTATCACTGGTCAAGTGCCCAAGCCTCATTGCAATGTACACAACACGCCATCTCCTGTTTTCAGAGGTGAAGGTGCTTCCCAGTGAGCCAGATAACAAAATTAAAATGTCCTCCTGCGTGTACACAGCTCACGTTTCTGGCTTCTACAGAATCAGCTGACAGCAGGAGTTAAAAACTTACAACTCTGGTGTTGTCTGCATAAGAATTGATGCTGTCACTCCTCTCCTGCAGAGTTTTCCTGTAATTCTCTTTGGTTTTGTTGAAAACTAACTATGAGGTTCTAGAGGATGTGAGAAAGAGAAAGAAGGGTTCTTCTCACTGGTTATTATACTGGCTGTGTGGAGACCTCATAGCAGCCTTCCAGTATCTGAAGGGGGCTTATAAGGATGCTGGGCAGGGACTCTTCTTTAGGGACTATAGTGATAGGACAAGGGGTAACTGGTTAAAACTTAAACAGGGGAAGTTTAGGTTGGATATGAGGAAGAAGTTCTTTACTGTAAGGGTGGTGAGGCACTGGAGTGGGCTGCCCAGAGAAGCTGTGAATGCTCCATCCCTAGCGGTGTTCAGGGTCTGGTTGGACAGAGCCTTGGGTGACGTGGTTTAGTGTGGGGTGTCCCTGCCCATGGCAGGGGGGTTGGAACTAGATGATCTGAAGGTCCTTTCCAACCCTAACTATTCTATGATTCTATGATTCTGTGATTATATTCTGTTGTTGGTGTCCCAGGACTTTGACATTTGATCCATCTGTGGGGAAACCTGTCTGAAGGCAGAAGGAGGGTTCAGAAAGAGCTCAGTGCTGAAAGTTACTTTCATAGTAGGTATGCTTCTTGGTTGTGTGCTTAAGGGGTGTTAGATGCTGTGGATACAGGAAAAGAA